GATTTTGGCCCAAAGCAGAGAATTCTAGAAAGATGCTTATTATGTGGTTTATTAACTATGCAAAGTGGATAACAAATTATGGCTCATATTAAGAATGGGAATTCCAGAACACTTGGCTGTGCTCATGCAAAACCTCTATACAGGCCAAGAAATTGTTGTCCAAACAAGGGGACACTGTATGGTTTACAATCAGGCAAGGTGTGTGTCAGGGTTCTCACTTTTATTTGCACCTATTCAATCTGTTGGCTGAGCAAGTCATTTGAGAAAGTGGACCATGTGAAGTCCAGAAGAGCAATGTGGCTTCCTGACTGGAGGACGCAAAACCTGTCCTACGTAGAAGTCACAACCTTCCACGTATGATGAGAAGATGACTTGAAGCACTGACTGTGGAAGATCAAAGACTACAGCCTTCTACACGGGTTACATTTCAACATCATAAAACAAAAATCCTCACCTCAGGACTAATGGGCAACATCAGGACAGAGGGAGAAAAGACGGGAGTTTGCAACAATTCCATTTTATTTGAAACCGCGATCTCCATCTATGGTAGCAGCCGTCAAGAAATCAAAAAGGCATGTTGCAGTGGGGAAATCAGCTGTCAACAATCTCTCCAAAGTTCTAAACAGCAAAGATGTCAATTTAAAGCCTTAGGTGTGCCTGACCCAAGCCACAGTCTTTTCAATTGTGTGCTGTGCATTTGAAAAAGTTGGACAGTGAATAACAAAGACTGAAAAATGGATGGCCTCTGAATTGTGATGTTGGCAAAGAATACTGAATATTCCATGCCCTCCCTGAAGAACAAGTCTGTCTCGGAGGAGGAGCAGAGTGCTTCTCTAGAGGCAAAGTCAGTGAAATGTCTACTTTCAGTATATTCTCAGCAGGACCAATCTTGGAGCCATCATGCTGGGAAAAGCAGAGGGACAGAGGTAGGTAGAAGTTCAACAAGAGGGACTTACTCAGTGACTGCCAAACGGGCTTGAGTTGAAAGAGATGTTTAGGATGGTGCTGGATAGGGAAGGTTTAGATCTGTCGTTAACAGGGTTGCTAAACCAGGCTGCTCTTGGAGGCAAGGATTCGGAAGCTCTGACATACTTTGAGCATGTTGCCAAGAGGGATCAGTTTTGGTGGAGGGACAGTGCAGAAGACTCTAGACATAGACTGACTCAGTGACTGGAGTAACGGGGGTAGGTGTGTCAGAGACAATGAGGTTGGCCCAGCAAAGAGCAGGTGTAGAGCTGTTGCACAAAGGGGTCAATAACATGAAGTCACAGTCAACTAGACAGGACCTAATAACAACACAGTGCTTAAGTGCTTGGCTGCTAACGGGAGGGGTTGGTTTGAATCTACCACTTGGTCCTCGGGAGAGCTGTGGTGGTCTGCTTCTGTGAGGACTAATCTCAGAAGTCTACGGGGTACTTCTACTCTGTCCTAACAGGTGACGAGTCTCAGTCAATCCTACTGCAGCTGGTTTGGTGTTACACTGAACACCCACCTCAGCCCCCCAAAAAAGGGAATGTTGTGCTTAATTTCTAGTATTTTGGATGTTGAGAGCAACAAGTTCTCTGTAACTTGGGTACACAGAAGGCGTATATAAGGCCAGTGTAGGGCTTGCTTAGATTTTTATAACCTAGCTATCTCCTCATAGATTGAATAGAGATTAATGTTCTCCACATCTTCACTTAAGATCATGACCTCTTTTTTAAAAAATTTATTTATTATTATTTTTGTGTGTACTGTCAAATCAGATCTGACTGGTACAGGAGATTGTCCCTCCTTCCCCGGCAGAGCATCTGGTGGATTTGAACCGTGTGCCTCTGGGATTGCAGTTGCAGCTTCTTGCCACTAGGCCACCAGAGCGCCCCCCTATCATGACCTCTTATTGCACCTTCCTTATTTTTGAGGAAATAATCCTCTCATATAAACTCTCACAGAACATGAAAACAAAACTTTGTGGCATGTTTGTGATTTCTATTGTTAATAAGCAACAAACTCCAAAATGGTTTCTGTCAAAATTTTTGCCGTCAGGAGTTTAGAACCAAATTTGTTGTTTTCTTTATTTGCTAATTCACGCTGTCTTGTCATGTCCCTCTGTGCTACTTTAACTTTCACTAATGGATCTGTGTTCTTGAAGCTTCTTCAAACTGTTTACAAAGATGAGATAAAAATGTCAAAAGGAAAAAGCTAAAACTATATAGTTACACAGGTGGTCGTGCTGCCAATCCAAAGGCACGTGATTCAAACCCACCAGTTGCTCCTTGGGAGAAAAGACGGGCTATCTCCTCTCATGTAATTTACTGGCTCTGAAAACCCATTGGAGGGTGAGCTGTGGGTAGATCCCAACTCTATGGTACATGACAGTATGTAGAGGCTAAAGGTGAATTAACAGTCATTTTTATAATGGATATAATCTGGCACAAAAAATGTTAATTTGCATCTCATAACCATGAAAAATTACACTGCAGCTATATTACTATGTCATCCAACTACTGGCTGGTTTAAGCTCCCTTCTAGAAAGCTACCCAACAGACAAGGAATGAACTTATCTGTCAAAGCTGGCTCTGATATTAGTTCATTGAAAACTATGTTAACTCTTACCTTTCCAAGTTGTATCTTAGAAAAGGAAATCATGTTGACTTTTCACAGTCAGTCATGTGGTGTTGCTGGGTGCGTGGCCTCGGCCCTCACCTCATGTACAATGGAACCAACCTTCGTGCTGGTCATTTGTAGTCAGTGCCAATCTTCCTCCTTGTTGATGACCCTCCACTTTTCCAAGCATGATGTCCTTTTCCAAGGACTGGTCTCTCCTGTGAACATGTCCTCTTTGGTTCAACGGAGCACTCTGGTTGGACTTTGTCCAGGACAGATTTGCTTACAGGTTCTTTTGTTGTGTGCTGAGTCAGAATAGACTCATAGCTGATCTTCCAGGGGGTTTTTAGAGGCTTAAAATCACACAGGAGATACTTTTGACCAACACTACTATTTAAAGGCTTCCTTATTCATCATCCAGCTTTTACACACTTATGAAGCAGGCACACCTTAGTCATAAGGTGACATCTTTGCTCTTTATCATTTTAAAGAGGTCTCTGGCAGGAGATTTGCTTACTTAAATGTGTCACGCAATTTCTTGGCAGCTGCTCACACAAGCATTGATTGTGGATTCCAGCAAGCAAGCCTACATGTAACATTCAAGGAACTGACATGTAACATTCAAGGAACTGACATTAGTATCTTCCACTAATGGCTGAGATTCCTGTTTCCTAGGCATTGTATACTTTTTAAAAACTGAAAAATGTTAAGTAAAAAACACATTATATATATAGATTATACATGAAGTAGGTAGCTTTACATGTTTCAGGAATGCAGTTTTAAGTAAGAAGATTTTAAGGGGAGAAAAAAAACTGTATGAGTAAAATATAATGTAAATGAAGGATTATATAAAACACTGTACATGAATGAAATAATGTATATGGTTAATTGTATACAAAAAATAAAATATGTAATAAAAATATAGATAATATTTAAGGTCATCATTTTCATGAATTTGAGAGAACACATCAACGAAACATTTGAAATTAAAACCCAGTGAAACTCAATGATAACTATTAAAAAGATAGAAAATAATGATTTTCTTTTAAATGCTGATTGGTATCAGTCAGAATTCTAAACATGTATTCTTTGACAATTTAAAGATCCAAAATCTCAGAGTTATAAATAACATATTGAAGAATCATGTAAGAATGTGTATTTTAATATAGGATTTATGTTGTGGTTTAGAGCAATAAATATCACACAGTGAAAAATTTATCACAAATACAGTAATAAAAGGAAATGAAAAATGAATGTACACATTGCCAAGGTCTTTACAATAAATTACAGTGTACAGTTCCATCACAGCATAATTGTATACAAAGCTTCTAATGTGAACAGTGAAAGAAATATTTCATGTAGGTCTTTAATCTAGACTTAATAAAGTTTATACAGTATCAAATAATATCAAAAGTCTAAAAAAACAATGAATTTTGATATTATGTTTATAAATTATTGTTTCATATACCATAAAAAAACAAGGTCAAAAGTGCTGTGTAAAAAAAAGTCGAAGTTGTTATTCTTGATAAGAGCTAGAAAATGTCTGTCCCAAGTGAGATGCTATCCAAAAGTTTAAACAGTTTCACTGGAATTTCCCTTTTACTATCATATAAACCTTGGTTACCACAAGCCATGAGATAAACCCATATAAAAGAAGCTCAGTGATCTCTTTTACAAGACTTAATAGGCAATATCTGAGGACAATAAAATGACAAATAAATTACGGGGCCTTCTCGAAACGAACGCAGTGAATAAATGGATTTGACTAAATATGAGAAATTTCACAAATGTGCTACATGCTTTATCTTTCCAAAGCTTCTAGTTACATACAATTACAAATAGTGTATACATCCAAAGCTGTGGAAAATGTTAGTAGTAGAACTAAGACAAAATAAGATTAAAATCATGTTGTCTACTTCTCACAGAAAATAAAGACCAAGAAGCCAGTGATTTAAAGACAGAAGCAATTAGTCAAGGGAAAATATCTGAGGGATGAATCAAATCTTAGTTTGTCCTTATCACAATAACTAGTTACAATTTGACAAACTCAAGAACAAATAACTATATTAAAATTCGTGTAATGCCGTAGCCATTTGTGATACCTAAGAAACAGAAAATGGTAAACCTGGTATTTGGTGTGAAAGAACTGGTTCCAACTCATGGCAAACCTAATGTGCAACGGAAGGGAAGTCTGTCCAGCCCTGCTCTGTCCTGACGACTGGTGCTGTGCTCTTTAGTGCAACCCCAGTGTCAGTCAGACCATCTCCTTGAGGGGTTCCCTCTATTCTGATGACCACCTATCATCAAGCATCATGTCCTCCCTACAGGGACTGGGTCCTTCCTGATTAACATAAAATTGCTGGCTTGGAAAGCAAATTTATAAAGGAAAAAATAAATAAAAGGACTTTAAAATGTAAAGAAAATCTTTATTTGTAACCTTACTGTGGATCAAAACATTGACAGAACTGTATTGATCAAGAGCAGTATACCTGTTGCTGAAACTACCAGGCAGCCTGGAAGCCTGGCTCAACACGGCCACTCTGCTCCTCAAAAGCGTTTTATCTGGTGATCTCTTTATAAGACACCAAGCAAGAGAAGATTATTATTTTTTTCACTGCATGGAGTAAGTTCCTTGGTCAATTTAACATATATACACTGCCTGAGATAATAAAAAACCTCATTCTTATAATAGGTTAATGGTAAATGAAGGTCTTCGTGTCTTTGATAGGAGACAAGGGTTGGCTGCTGATAACTGTATGGGTCTCTGGAGGCTGCATACATACATATTTAATAATTAACTCAGAAGATTAAAAATCAATGGATATGGATGCTTGTGCAGAATCTTCTCTTCCCCTGACGTAAATTTCACAGGGAATCTCCTCCATTACTCTGTCTTCCAGGGCTTGTTCAGGGCATTCATGTGCCTGTTTGAAAGTGTAGCTACTTTTCTTGAAGGTGCTATTAAATGTTTTCATTGGCTGTGGTTGTGCAAAGTCATTTCGGAAAGGAAGCTCCATGGAACTGAGGTTGGTCCTGCTTTGTTTGACACTGGACACTTGCGACCCACAGTGATGGTCATGAATGCACCGGGAGGCGGTGGAGGAACGTCGCATCTTCTGGTAGTTGTCCAGTTCTTCGGATAAGTCCGCCAGGTCTGCAGATATCTCTTTGTCCCTTAAGGAAAACAGTTCATAGTGGGGGGGATCAAACACTTCTTGGAATCCTGTTTTATTAAAAGCAGTTTTGCAAGCCATGACCTTTTTTCGAGGCTGTTTCACTTGTACTAAAATAGAAATAATGAGAAGAACCAAGACAATTCCTGATGTGATGCCAATAATTGTTCCATGAGTTTTAGTGATTTGTTCAAATAGTCCTGCTTTTTTCTTCTCTGAAAGAGAGAAAAAACATTGAGATTTTCACTACAATCCCAGAGGTGCAACGGTTCGAATCCACCAGATGCTCTGCCGGGGAAGGAGGGGCAATCTCCTCCTGTACCAGTCAGATCTGATTTGACGGTACACGCACACAAAAATAATAAAATTAAAAAAAAAACCAACACAACATTGAGATTTTCAAAATTCATTAATGGATTCTGTCACAAACTTGTAAGGTATTTTAAGCTAACATACTACACATCATAAAGGAGGGAATCTAAAATCGGTTTTTTAAACAAATGAAACAATCCTATTTATGATTTTTTATAATTACAACCACTAATTAGAATGTTATGAGAATAAAGAAGTGATAAAGGCTTTGGTGCCCATACTGAGAGTAAGGGAAAACATAATTTACAAATCAAATTAAATACACACACACACACACACACACACACACACGCATATACACACTCTTGTTTTATCAAGCCCATTTTTCTGATCTATGGTATGTTTGACCAATCATCCCTTTTAAATATAGCCACAGTATTTCTACTCCGGTCATAAGATTAACTCAAATCTTTCAAATATCCTACAAATGGTCTACTATTTTTGAATAATTGTCTGAAAATATTTCATGTCAGATATTCAAGTAACTATATGGGAACACCAAGGCTATAGAGGTTAGGTAACAGACTCACGGATACAGGACTAAGAAGTGACCGGGCTGCAAATGAAATCCTAGCCACCTGAATGTTACCATGGGGTTAGACAGAAGACGTCAGAAGGACTGAACAAGGACAGAGGAAAGTGGGTCAAACACAGTTGCACTTCTTGTGGACTTATCTCACAGACCCGTAGATTTTTTAGTCTATCAAGTCTATCATTTAGAGAATGATACAATTCTTTCACTCTATCAATAATCTTTCCTACTCATTTGTTATAGGTGCTTTCCATTTTCCACTTAAGTAGTTTCAGTAAAAAATTAGTTTTAAAATTCTTTGGATAGAACCTGGCACTTTGGGATAATTCCTTTCATTGCACCCTTCTTCCTTAAACAGAAATGGGTGGCCCTCTGAAAACACATGAAACACCTCAGTTCTTGTCCAAAAACCTCCCAAATCCATCACATAATTACTTTCTTCTTCCATATGAGAATCTTTCACATAGAGAATGACAATGCTTGGGTCCACAAAAAATTGCACGATGTGCTCTGGAAGAGTACGTAGAGTTTGGGCTTTGGAAATGTATTATTCTAAACTCAAATCTTAGTCTGCCCTTTGCTTTGATAAATGTCAATAGTTGTAGAGGGGCTTCAGGCCTTTTGTTCATAGGGTTGCTATGAGTCGTGCTTGACTTGAAGGCAATCAACAACAAACAACAACATACCAAGTTAGATCACCTTTTGAATTCTGAAGGAAAGCAAGACAGAGAAACTTTATTTCTGAGACAATGATTTTGACAACTCACTTACAGACATTCAACTATTAACATACGAATATTCAACTCTCAGAAAGCAGACTAGAAACCTAGCATCAGGCATTTTTTGAAAGGAAAAAAAAAGCGTGTTCTTAGGATGAGTCTCCTTTTATATGGTAATGTTGAATCCATGGATTGATTTTTATTAAGTATGTAAACTAAGTAGTATTTCAATATTATAATAAAAAGAAAAATGCTTTAGGCTATTTAAAAATCCTTTTGAAAGCTAAATTAGGTATCTGCAATGCAAATGACTAACGTGACCAACAATAAAATACAAGAGCCAAGAATTCATATGATGGACTTTTGAACAATTTAAGAGAAAAAACATATTTAAGCAGTAAAAAATTATTTTGTGGAGAACAATTGTTCTTTGCTGTTACCAACATCCTGGAGAAGGTCCATGATTTACTTTAAAGGAACATTTAGAGTGTTTCCATTTCTGCCAAAATAGTTGTTTTAAAAAAACCCCAAACCTCTGTAAGTCTTTCTTCATGAAAAGCTACCTTTCTCCCACCCAAGTTGGCTTTGTTCAAACTCACCTTTACAATGGTTTTCATCCCAAGGGTATGCACAGTTCTGAATGCCATTGCAGACTAAAGAATTATTGATGCACATGTTGCTGTGGCAAAAGAAAGTGCTTCCTGTACAGGGGGCTGGGGGAGGAAAGAAAATTGTTTCTAAGAACACAGGACATCTATAATAAGAACCTACCTATTTATTTTAAATTTTTTTTTTTTCTTACAAAGGCAATACTTTCAATGTATTACTTCAAAGGTCTTTCCAGGAATATACTCCTTATGCCATAAAATGTAAGACAAGGGTCAATACTATCTGGCCCTGACTCATGAGCAGTTTCACTTACACTGGACATTAAAAAATCATCTTTATTTAGTAATACCTTGTTTATATTTCCCATGGTTCTTATGGATCTAATGCATATCTTAATAAGGATTTTTCCAGCACTTTTTAAAGATAATGGGGATTAGATAACGGATTATCTATCATGTGATTTGATATTTTTGCATATGCTGTTTTCTCCTTTCCACCCTTGGAGACCGTCATTTTTGATGAAGATCTCACACACTGCTCTCTTTGTGAAGACTGTCTCAAGCCCCCTTGGACAGTCATTTCTGTGCATGTCCCTGCCATTCTGTATATACTTCTGCTATTCTGCACTCGCCTTTTTAAGTATCCGCTATACTGGGTTATGATTCAATGTACGCACTTCTCTTAGAAAACAAAGTTCTAAACCAGCCACAGACACTCAAGGAGTAACACTAACGCATTTGAGAGTAAAGATGCACAAAAACCTGAGTGTCAAGTGACACAGCTTACTCATCCCTCTGCTTAAATATGACTGTGGAGGCAAGAGAAATACCTAGAAAACCGAAATGTTTACCTCAGAGATCATAAACAAAATGTACTGCCTAACTAAAAAACTCTACCGTTTTGATTTTCCAGGAGCATATCTGACCATCCATTTACATCAGAACCTCAACCTCAACATGTTTTAATCTTTTCTTGTAAAAGTTTTTCCAATAAATGTAATATCCAAAATTTTACTGGACTGATAAAACCTCTTCATTCCTCAAGATAGGCTCAAGTAGGTAAACCTTACTCCCTAAACACTGTCTTTTAATGCATAAGCTCCACTTATATATCAATGCTGAGAAAACATACACCCCAAAGCAAACATGAGCTGGTGAGGAGTGAAAGGATTCTAAACGAATGTGAACAGAACAAATGGAATGGGAACAATGCTGAGTCACTGCGGTAACGGCAACCATTGTCAGGGAACAACTTCTATGGAAACTTTTACATGGGAATCTAATTTGCTGTATTAAGCTGTCATCTAAAATACACAGAAAGTACTTAAAAATAAATAGCTACAACAAGTTTAATATTTCTCTCCCTTTAAGAGAAGACTCCAGAGTGCTAAAGAGTAACTATGTTGGTCTAGAGAGACAAAGGTGCGCTTGATCCAGCTCATGGTCTTCTCAATTGCGTACTATGCACCTGAGAGCTGGACAATGACTAAGGCTGACAGCAAAAGAATCAAGGCCTTTGAGTTGTGGTGCTGGAGCAGAATATTGAACGTACCATGGACTGCCAAGAGAACAAAAAAGATCTGTCCTGGTTAGGGTGAAACCAGTTTGCTCCTGGGAGGCAAGGATTTGAAGCTCTGTCTGACATACTTTGACTATGTCATGAGGAAGGATCAATCCTTGGAGAAGGACATCATGCTTGAAAGGACAGAGTGACCACGGTCAGCACAGGAGAGGAAGACCTGGATGAGATGAACTGACTGTGGCAATGGGATCTGGTATATCAGGTGTGTGAAGCTGGCTCAGGATAGGGGAAGGACTAGAGCCACTGCTCACAGGGCTGTTAGGGCACTCTAGTTAAAACACTCCTAAACTTTATTTGCTCACTTGTTCCTCCCTAAGAGAAGATTTGACTGACAAATTTAGGAGCAGGAGTTCATAGCTCAGTCCCTCCTCTTATTTACTTTGGGAGTCAGAAGACTGCAGGAAGTTGATACTCAGCTCTTAACGCCTTTGTTTCTTGCCTGCTTAGTCATCACCTGATTGTCTAGGTTAATGCACCTATCTATCTCTAGGCTTACTTGAAATTTCGGGGTGTACTCTTACTATGCTTAAAAACATCTAACCATAATTTCCAACTAAATTATCAGTAACAAAACTCATTTAGTTTGGTATTATGTCTATTATCACAATTGCTTCTGAACATGGGCTCACTAGGTCCTCAGAAAACAAAAAACAAAACAAAACAAAACACCATAATTTGATTTTTAAAAACACCAACAAAAACATTATCTGATAAAATGTAGATTAGTAAAAAACATCGGAAAGTTTTGTCATTGGAGCATAAACAAAGTAGACAACAGATTAGTAATCTATAGTTAATCTTAAACTAGGGTTGGTTTAGCCCTCTTCCTCACTGCAGCTCAATGAGTTTGGATCTGGCTTTCTTATTTACATATAATTAAGTAGTCTCTACAGTAGACTTTTATGCTTATTTGCTGAGCACTTAACCACTTCAGTTTAATAATCTCAAAGTGACTCTTGTGACTGAAGAGTCTGAAAAAGCTAAGAACTGTAAATAAGTTGGAAAACAGTGCTGTATAGAAAGTGGGGGGAGGAAATAAATTAAAAAAATACTCAAATCCACCAATGAATTATACTAATTAACAGAAACAGTCTACTATAAGTTCACCTATATCCTTTACTACTTTTAACCTCTCTGAGCCACAGTTTCCTCTCTATAAAGGCTGGATTAGAGTATATGCCAGATTTAGTTCTACAATTAGGTAAGTATTGTTGGTTTTCACACAATGAGATACCATCTCACCCCAGCAGCAGTGGCAAAGTTTAGCAGGACAGAAAGCAGTAAATGTTGGAGAGGATGTGGAGAGGTGGGAACCCTCATACACTGCTGGTGGTATTGTATAATGGAACAACCCCTCGGGAAGGTAGTTTGGCGTTTCCTCAAAAAGCTGAACACAGAAATTCCATACGGCCTAGCAATTCCACTACTAGGAATTTCCCAAGGAAATTAGAATTGAGACACAAATGGAGATTTATATGCCAATGTTCATAGCACCATTATTCATCATCACAAGAACATGGAAACAGCCCAAAAGTCCAACCACAACTGAAAAATTATGGTATATTCACACGATGGAATATTATGCAGCACTCAGGAGCAATGATTTTAAAAAAATACTACATAACTTGGGAGAGAATGGAGAGCATAATACTGAGTGAACTAAGTCAGTCTCATAAGGACAAATACTGCATAAGAATATTATTATAAAAATAGAAGGATAACTAGTAAAATGTATATGGGGATCTAGGGGGAAGGGGTGGAAGCAGATGTATAAGGGCAAAATCACAGGGTAATATAATCTGGTGGGTGGAGGGAGGGGTAAAGGAAATGGGAAATATCTGGTAGGGACCTGAAAAGACTGGGCAATGGTGGATATAGTCCAATGGTGAGTAATTTTATAAAACACAATGTATGGAGAGGAATGTATAAAACATGATGTCAATGACGAAAGATGTGGGGGAAAAGACTTTAAGAAAAAAAGAATCATCGGTTTTAATTTTAAGTATAAAACACCAATCCACTGGAGAGTCAGCTATGGATCGGTTCTTACAAGATATCAAACAAGGATTCAGAGATTATTAGTCTCTAAAAATAATGGAATTTATCATATTAAAATAAGTAGTTTATGATTCTTAAAAGATGATTGATTTCAATGTTCACAATAAAGAAACCAGGTATTATGGTAAGCTATTATTAGTTTAAGAACAGACAAAACTAGTAGTATACTCACTTCAGCTGTGAATTGTCATGTACCATAAAGATGCACAACTAAAACAGGTGCACTACAAAACACAACATGTGGCCGAGAGAAACATGGCCTTGTTAGCAGAGAGCAGTGCTCCTTGACTAATGGCGACGTCTCCCTGAAGTTCAAATCTACTAGCTGCTCAGCAAGGAAAAACGGTCATGTCCTCCAGTGTGAGTCCCAGCCTCGGAATGCCCAGTGGAGGGGCAGCTATGAGTCGATTCTGACTTGACGGCAATGAGTTTGAGTCACTACTAAAAAGGAATTTTGGGTTTTGTTTTTACAAGATACCACAACTGTACTAATTGTTTTTGTTAGGTGCTGTCAAGTACAACTCAGAGTGATTGTACGAACAATAGATCTGAATTCTGTCCTATCCTGAGCCATCCTTGTCCTATTAGATATATTTGAGTCCACTGTCACAGATACGGTATTAATCCATCTCGTTGGGGTCTTTTTTTCTTCCTTCATTGACCCTCCAACTTTCTAAGTATAATATCCCTTTCCAAGGAATAGTTTCTCCTAATAACATGTCCAAAATATGTCAGGCCAAATTTTACCATTTTTGTCTCCAAGGAATAATAATACTACAGTTGCACCTTCTCCAAAATATACACTGTTCTTTTGTCTGTCCAGGGGATATTCAGCACTCTTCTCCAACACTACAAATCAAATGCATTCATTCTGCTCCCGTCATTTTATTCACTGTCCAGCTCTCAGAAGAACTGCAGGTGACTGCAAAGACTATGGCCTGAATCAAGCACACCTTAGTCTTTAAAGTGACTTGATTGCTCTCCAGGACTTCGGAGAGATCACTGACTGCAGAATTTCCCAATACTGGAAGTCTCTCAATCTCCTGACTACTGGATCTAAGCAAGGCGTAATCACTGACAATTTCAATCTTTTTTCCATCTATCATGATGTTGACTACTGATCCAGTAATGAGGATTTTTGTTTTCTTTATATTAAGACATAACTCATATTAAGTCTGTAGTCTTTAATCTTCTGTAGCGAGTGCTTCAGTCCCTCCTCATGTTTGGCAAGCAAGGCTGTGTCATCTGTGTAACACAAGTTTTGATGAGCCTTTCTCCAATCCTAACACCACATTCTTGTTCAGAGTCCAGCTTCTCAACTCATTTGATCAGCATACAGACCGAATAGGTTTATAGAGAGGATACAGCCTTAACACAAACTTTTCCCAATTTTATATAAGTACAGATTTCATATAAGCATAATTAAGTATTCTGGAATTCTCATTCTTCTCAAGGTTAGCCACGA